TGGGCGGGAACCGTGGCGCGCTTGCGCACTTCGGGGAAAGCGGAGCTGGAACCCGCGCGTTCTATTGCTTTGCTCCGCCGCGGTGCGTCCGAGGGACGTCGGGGGCGGCGCCACAATAGTTGCCCCTGGTAACGGGGGTGGCAGAGGGAGGAGGAGGAGGAGGAGGGACTCGGCAGGAGGATGGTGAGTGTGGGGGGCCTGGGCCCCTCCTAAGCCCGTCGGTCAGCCCCCCTCTACCCCCCGTCTCGGCCCCAGGCCCAGGGCGGGGCACTGCGCTTAAAGCAAAGTTGGGAATGGGATGGTGCTCAGCTTGCGGACTGAGTCTTGGATCGGTTTCGTGGGGCGGCGGGGAGCCCCGAGGGTGTGGGCCCTGGAGGGAGACCGGGCCTGGGGAGGAAGGCGGGACTTACAGCGGTCTGAAGCTAGGGGAAGGGGCTGGAAGGGTGCGTGGATGTCCCCGTTCGGAGCCTGGGCTCCATCACGACTCTGGGGACTGGGAGGAGGGCGGAGCCGCGGAGCTGCGAGGAGCAGTCTCCGCACTCAGGCTTAGATCTTCCCAGGAAACTGGCTCCTCACGCCGCAAGCAAGTGGGGTCCGCCGGGGCCGGGCCAGAAGCGGGGAGCAGGGCCAGCGCTACTGCGGCTCAGGTCGCCCTAGCGGAACCGTGGGAGTCGGTAGCCTAGCGCTCCTTTTCCCCAGCGGTGCGGACGTCTGGGGGGAAGGGTGTAAATCCCGGGACACAAAAGAGGTCCCGCTTGGGAGATGTGCCTGGTGGATTTTACGCTGCCTCAAAAAAAAAGGGGGGGTGTGTGTGTGTGTGTGTGTGTGTGTGTGTGTGTGTGTGTGTGTGTGGCGGGCATGCTTTTATTTGCTGAGGGTTCTGCAAGATCTAGTTGTACGTGATGATCAATACTTAATCCATGCAGATGGAAGCAAATTTGCTGCCCAGTCCCTGGCATTTCCTTCAGAACCTGTTGCAACCTTCTTTTGCGTATGACCACACCAGACCAAAGGGGCAATTTCAGCGTGGGGTCTCCAAACGAAAATGAATGGGAAATTAAAACTAGAGAGTGGGCATCAATTTGGGGCAATCCTTTTCTCGGTCAGACCTAATGAAATCTTGCCAAAACTGTAAATTATGACGTGTGACAGATTTGATTGACCGTTGACATTCTGCTCCTTGTTGATTTCTTTGAAGTTAACTGGCGGGTGTTAAAATGAAATTAAGTAGTTTTAGGAGCAAGCAAAGAAAAATTGATTTTGAAGCATTTAAAACAGGTTGGTTGGCTTTCCAACTGTAAAGAGACAGCACACAAACTTAGAGTCAGTTCCCTACCCCAACCCCAATCTCTTTGACTTTTAGAAATGTTTAACTACAT